ACTCAACCCTCCATGCACGTGTTTGTTTCATCTATCGAGCTTCTGCCGACTCCTCTATTTTTTTTATTTTTCCTCGTGCGCTTCTTGAAGAATTCTTATGCTTTACGTTCACGTTGTCTTCATTGCGGAAGGTGAGGAGGCGTTGATGATGAGCTGGACCACTCACAGTGCAGCATTCTGTCCAGTAGACCTGCACAGCAGACTATTTTTTTTTTAAATTCTTGCAATTATGTCCGTCATTAAATTTTCGTACGTGCTACTTAATATATGTCCGGGGGGGAAATGACGTCGGAATATGATAAAAATGACGTCTGCATGCACTGAGAAGTGAGAATCCATCGGTTTCTTTTGGCACTGACGTGTCCAAGTTCTTGCATGGTGTTCATGATTTGGAAATCCTTTCTTATTGCATCTACTAAAGTTTATTTCTACCATAATTCTACTTCTTTTCAACGTCAAATCAAATACCTAAGTGATGTTGATAACTCTTTTTTTCTTCTTGTGAACCACGTCACATACTTCATCATAGCAATTTTTTGTGTCGATGTGTCATACTCGACAACAAATGAACATCTCCTAACAATACGCAAGAATTCATTACCTATAGGGAAACAACACCGATAAGCTCCAAACTTCCATTTAATGTGCAATGATAACCTCAAACAGTTAATTTGTTCAATGTGATTTTTGAAGTATTTCTAAACGTTCAATGCAATCGTTTCGTTCGATCAAATGAGGAGATGGCCTAATGTATAATGTCATCATTTAATCATCTTTTTACTGTGATGTGCAATTTAAATGACACGAACTAAGGCCCTATTCTTGAAAAACAAGCACGAAATGCCAAAAATTAACCAAAAAAATTAATAAAAAAAATCAGAAACTCCTTTTTCTTGGTCACTTTCACTCCCAATCTCATGATTATTAAATTTTTCTCCTTCCCAGATATTAAATTTTTGACCCATTAAATATTTATTTATCTGCTAGCTAGCGGTTGGTCCATCAAGTCTGTGCCAGCTACAAGACGATGGAAACAAGAAAAGGGCGCGGCCCAAAGCAAAGAACAGCAATCGAACAACAACAAGAACAGTAACAGCAACAGCAACAACAACAACAGCAACAACTGACCCCGCCTTCTCCAATCAACAACCCACCAAGATTTTAATCGCGGAATCGAATTTCCGACAACGACGTTTCCGTATTTCATATTAAAATATCGAGAGCTCGAGAAAGAGGAAAAGAGAGAAAAGAAAAAAAGGTGCAGGAGATCTTGGTGGGGGCATCTCCGGTTCCCATTGAGAAAGACAATGTCTGGTGTCGATCGGACCACGTCCCCCACGCATAGACAATCCCTTTCGCTTCTAAATCATTAGGCATGAAGCTTTCGAAATTACCCACTTTTTCTTTTCTCTTTTCTAGGATAATAGATTTTTTTTTTTTTTTTGCGCACTATTCTTTGTAGATGTAATTGAAGTTTAGATGGTGCAGCTGCTGGCGGCCGAGCCAACTGTCTGTTTGGTTTTGATTAGAGCGGCTCTTTAGCGAGCAACGTGATCGAGTCGGATGATTTTTTCTTGTTCCCATGTCATACGAGGAAGGACGTGCTTAAGGAAACATCCTGTCATGAATTGGTTTTTTTTTTTTTTTCGCGAGAAGTCAACGGGACGCGATGATTCCTCGTGCCCCCCCCGGGTTGTTATCTTCGATTTTAGCCGCTCGGCGATCGCTCCGGAGGCATGATTGGACCGGCCCCGTACGGAGAGTGCTGTTTTTATCATCGGGGAGTTTGAGAAGTTATACATGGAAGTGCGAAGATACGCGGAAAAGGGTTTCGACGACGGTAATCCGATCTCAACATGGGATTATTTGATGGAATGGTGCTTCATTTAGTGGGGAAATCCAAGGCATACAAGCTACAAAACTACCTGTTTCTGTCAAAAAACAGGAACGATGAAGTGAATCCAACCCGATTCGAGGTTTCGAAGCCCACGATGGTCGGCGAGAACAACCACAACAGCACATGGAGAGACCCAAATGCTCAAATCTAAGGGGGCCCTCACGGGAGGCAGAGTAGACCTTCCCACATGCCAAGATCACACCCGCAATATATCTCCCGATTTCACATAGGCCCGTCAAACAGGTGGGTCCTGGTTGCACATAGACTCGTCAAATGGGTGGGTCAGGTCGTGTCGAAAATGGTTCGCCTCAAATTAATCCATTTAACTCGTTCCAATCCATTTCCATGTTATACAATTCTAGCGACCTATACCCAATGCCGACCCATATTTACTGAATATAGTTAACTCATATAACAACTCAACCTATCAAATATGGGTTAAGAAATGGATTTACGACCCATTTTGATCAGTTTAGTTTCACCCCCCTAAAATGACATCAGAAAGAAGAAAAAAGCCAAAAAAAAACAACAACAATTTCATCGCACTTGAGTTTGACCACTCAAGCTTTGGTCGGCACATTCCACCTTTCTAACTCCCATTTCAATTAATGCAATTGGATCCGACCCGCCAACTTAGTCGCTCGACGGGAATTTTTTTAGGTGCTCTCGAATCACAAAGCATGTCCTCACGTCAATCGCTGTGTGATTAGATATAATAACGAGCTGTCTTCTAAGCCGGTAACATATTCTCCAACTTCATCATTTCGACGAGTAAGTGAAAAAACAGTCGTTCCGCCGAAATCACTCAACTTAACTGTGTGGCATTACCGGAAGAATCGCGATGACCTAATTTCGGTCTTGGCGGGTGGCCCACGAATGCCGCTTGTGTTGACTATCGTTCGTTCGATTTGTGCACAACAACTCCGAAGGTAAAAGATTCCCTTCATACCGGGAAAATCTCGTGCAAAGATTGACACCATCATGACATATAGGAATGATTTTTTCCATGGAGAAGAGGGACAATCTTTTCGAGGCTGCTTCGGCTTTTTTGTGTTCTTTTACCCTCCCTTTGGTCTGAGCTTTTGCTCATATGCTGGCCGCCTAATCACATGGCAGCTCACATGATCTGCCGGAGGCCGAATCACACGGGATTCACCGTCTCCATGCGGTGTTAACTTCTATTGTAATGATCTGGTCCGACAAGGACGGAGAGTGGTCGCCGGGGCTAGAAGGCTCGGACAAGGAACGGCTCCTGGCAAGCTTCTAAGATAGCGAATGGGGCAGAAGGGAACCGAACTGTGCATCAAACAGACGGAGAGCGATTATGAGATGAGTGCGAATGTGAAACTAGAATTAACTCATGGAAGCGCCTTTTAACGTAATGACAGTGCTTAGGTGGGAGCATTCTTAGGATAGATAACCTCCCTGGAAGGTATTCACTTGTATACCAAAGGACAAAATTGTAAAGCTCGGGACGGGAAGGACCAAAGTAAACGATACTTAAGTGAGTTAATTCAAAGATGTCACATATATTATATCTTTCTAGCAGGTACAGAGACGGCCTTTGAAAAATATTCGGGTCGCACCGGAAATTTTGGTGTCCCATCTAAGATCCGCATATGGGTAGAATCATAGTCGAAAGGGAGACAGGCCAGGGAGACTACAGCTTGCGCAAATCTAGGATTGAGACAGCAGTAATTGGGGCTAAGTGGGAAGTGACAAGCGTACACGTTTCTAGGTGTGGGAAGTGGAGTTAATGCAAGAGGCCAAGGATGGGTTACGAATAGTTACTCCCCCCCCCCACCACTTTTCTACCAAGCTGTCTTCAGAGATCATCGCGCAACGTGCGCTCTTGATTTCCTGCATTGGGATGCGAAGAGAAGACAGCTTCGGTCAACAAAACGCACGCAGCATCCACTTCGCTTCGTTTGAACATAACGTGTAGTGTTCGATAGATACCACCTCACTCGGCAAAGTACTCATCAAGAGATTTACTTGATGTTTTAGACAGAACGATAGATTCAGAAGTTCAGGTCTTAGCTCTCAGCTTCTGGTGGATTGTATGCGATCCTCTGTGCTTCGTGAGATCCGCAGGAGATTGGTTCTGTGATTTGTTGCATCTTGGAGATTGTTCTTTACCTGGTTTGTGCATTGATTATAATTAATCTAGTGGATAATCATCTTGTAGGGTAAGTAAAGATCACCATTTGCCTCCAAAAAACAAGAAAAACGAAAGCAAAACTTAATGTTGTGAGAAGACATGAGGTGCAGATTGCTTAACACCTACTGTTTCCGTTGTGTACGTGATAGATAGGACCGATTGCGATCTCATGATTCACGCGAGGATTTCCAAATTGGGAGAGCGGTTTTTTCGAGTTCCCGAGATACATACTGAAAGGCGAGAATGAGACCGTTTGAGCGGCTCGACAATGTGGCGGGATACAACTCTGTGGATACTAGTTTGCTTGGCTTCATAATATGAGGCAACGAAAGTGTTTCACTCAAGCTCGAGTTCAACTTTCCAAAGCTGTTCGGACTCTATTTTAATCTCGATCAATCGAGGGGCGAGTTTAGATGGGTTCGAAGTAGGCTGTGACCGATACTTGCAAGCCCGACAATCATACAGGGCGGCAAACTTCGGACCTAAAGAGCAGTACCCAGACTCGCTCCGTCCTACAAAACAAATCGGAAACTACGCGTGCAGTCGCGAGCCCGCCCCCGCCGAGCTCGTATTTTCTCCAAATCCGGCCCGACGCGTAGAAAAGCTCCGCCGAAGTCCGCCCGAACGACGAAGGGCCCGAACGAGCCTCAACGGTTGCACTATGCTGGGCAGGCCTTAGACATAGAGAGACATCAAAAACAGGAGATGTTACTAACTACATGGCACATATGCTCTCCCCAGTCCCTCCACCAAACACAAAACACAGAGGAAAACAGAAACGAATGGGCCCAAGGCCCAATATGTCAAAAGGCCCAACGGATCGAACCATTTGGGCCGGCCAACGCTGAACATAGAACCGAGCCCACGTGGGGCTACGACGTCGTACCGTCTTTCCTTCTCCATCTCTGTCTGTCTGTCTGTCTGTCTGTCTGTCTGTCTCTTCACTCTATCCACAACGTAGCATCTGCGCAACAACTCCGGTGCTTCTGCTTGACCTGCGCGGCAATGGCGTCTTACGCTCTCTCCAAGCTCTCGCCGTCGACGCCCTTCTCGCCGTCGACCCGCGCTCGGTCCCCTCACCGGCCGAGGCTCGCGAGCTCGTTGAGATTGCCGAACGCGTGGCTCCTCGGCGCGAGCGATTTGGCGCTCCGTTCGACGAGCCTCGTCTCGCGGTCGTCGAAGCCGCGCCCGATCATCGCCACCGTCGCCTTCAGCCTCCCCACCGCGTGAGTCGCCGCAAAAGCGTTACTTTACGCGTTCCCCTTTTAGGATTTTGTTTAATTTTGGTTTCTGGTTTTAAAAATTGCATTTTTTAGGTGACTGTGTTGTTGTTTCAGGAGTATTGTGCTTGATTTTGCAGAAAGCCGGAGAGGGTCTCTTCCGGTGAGAATGTTCCCAGGTGAGTTCAGCTAAAAACATTAGATGGAAGTTTGTGTCTTCTGTTGTTGTTTCTTGGTTACCATTACTGAAAATGTTCTCCGAACGAGCTGTATTTATCGAATGACAACTGGGAATGGAATAATTATCTTGATTCAGCTTTGGAGCATGCCATTTGTGTATATAGTTGATTCCAATCGATGATAAGTGAAGACGAATCTGTTGTGTTCGCTGGTATTCTGTGTTCTACGTGGACATTGAGTCTTTCTCTGTTTTTGTTGTGGTTGGGAGTGGAATTAGATGGTCGAGGAGGGCGATAAAGTCGTTTGCTATGGGTGAACTCGAGGCGAGGAAGCTCAAGTATCCGACTACTGGAACGGAGGCACTTCTTATGGGATTGCTTATCGAGGGTAATTCACTTTGTGCATTTTGGGAATATCTTTCATATTGCTTCCGGTTGTTGCTTCATTATTCATTGAAGTAGTCTGTTGGCCTATCTGCCTAGAGATATTCATAGCCATGTTAGATCATTCTGGCTATGTACCGTGTATATAATGAATTCAACTGGTTGGTGAAGTGGTTTCTTAGGAAAAGTTTTCGATTTTACTTGAACTGTGGAGTTGCCAGTGACGTTAATCATGGAGGGGGCATCTTAGGCCTGTCTTATATCATGCAAGCACTCTTGATGGGACCCTCATTTTGTTACTGGGAAGACCATATGTTTTCACATGCTTTGCATATAGTCTCGATAAGATTCAAGGGTTATCATTAGAGTGACATGGATTGTGCTACTTCTAATTTCTTGGTCGTGATGTGCAGGGACTAGCTCTGCTGCTAAGTTTTTGCGGGCAAATGGAATTACACTTTTCAAGGTGCGGGAAGAGTCCATAAAGTCGATTCCAAAGGGCGACATGTATTTTTTCAGCCCCGAGCATCCGCCGCTGACCGAAGATTGCCAAAGGGTGCTTGATTGGGCTGTCGATCAAAAATTGAAGTCTGGTAAGCTTTCCGTCAATTTACTCATTCATCTTTCAAGGACTGCTGTGTGATAGCGTTCTGCTGTAGTTGGAGGTCCACACATTCTCGTGGATTATCAGGGAATATGACAATAGGTTTCACTTGTTTGAGATGAGTTACATTTTCTGATTTTTACGAGTTTATTCTTAAAATGATGGAACGACTCTCTTAAATTAAATATCTCAGATAGAGAGAATCACTAATATGAAATGGTTTAATGTTAGCTTCTTCAATGTCTGAAATGCAAAGTGCCTGTACTTCATTGTATAAGGTCTTTCGATGGCATAGAGTTTTGCACTTGGAACTAGTACCGGCATAGCAAGTGAGTTATAATCTAAATGTTTTTTCCTTCGTTTCGAACGCCCAGAGAAGTCAAATTCTGGTTTTTTGCAGTTCTTGGATGGAAAGTCGGAAAGTGCTGTCAATGCTTTAAATATAGTTGGAGGTCCACACATTCACCTATATTGTTTGTTTTTCTGGCCTGTCCAACTATAGGCCTAGAACTAATAGTTCTTGCATTCCTTTGTTGACGCAGCTGATGGTGGAGAGATTACGACGAGCCATTTGCTTCTCGGTATCTGGTCTGAAGTGGAGTCGCCAGGTCACAAGATACTAGCTGCCCTTGGTTTTGATGACGACAAGGCCAAAGAGCTGAAGTCTCAAATTTGCGAACCGGAATATGACGGCTAACGGATTTTCCCCCCTCGATTTCTTTTTAATTCTTACGCGGGAATCTGGGGTTCCTTGGGAAAGCCGTGACGCTCAAACTAGTCTCCTCAATATGTTCAGTCCCTAATCCCTCTCACAGGCTGGCACGATCGGATGATTTCTTGACCATTTTTGTTTGTTGATTGTTGCGACTTGAGATTCCTTGAAAAATGAGATGGATCCATCATGTTTGTATCAAGGTCTTGCATTCTGAACAAATCTCTTCTTGGGACTTGAATTTATGTTCTTTATGGGTGTTGCTCAACGTGCGAGGTGATAATAACAACAGGGGGTTGCTCGTTCAGCTAAAGATAAGCCATCTGGTTTAGTATACCACGGCGTTTTTTGATGGTTTGATGTTTCTATTGATGTAACGAGGCTGTTATTTGCGAAACGCCAAGAACAAGTTTGACATGTTCTTTTACACCAATTGCTGCTAATTCCGTGTCTTCTCCTTCTTCCTGATCAAGTAACGTTTTTCATCGGGGGAGGAAATCACCTCATCTATCACCAAAAAATGATTGAGGGAAAGCCAAGTGACCGTACATTGGCTCGGTTCAAAGTGCGACAATTTCTCAAGGATACCTCCGTGACTATGATTCCCGTAACCAGAGTCAACTTGTTTGCCAACTGATAAGCAAGTAAACTCTGATAATAAACTCAACACTTACATTGTCTGGAACTCTAAGCTCAAGCATGTTTCCTATGCAATCCAAGCTGTACACATCTAATCTTTATACATTCTTTCACGTGGAATAATTGTTAGCAAGTTATGGAAACTAACTAAATTTACGCTACTAAAAATGGCATTGCCAGATTCAGAAAACATCAAACATGAATGAATAATGACCAAAGGGCACAAACCCTAAATGACGACCCGCTCCACCGGAAATCTTCTACAAGAGCAGAGCTTAAAATGGCCCCTTTCATGTGGAATCTCAATCCTTCCACTTGGATTAGTTTAAGCTGATAAATCAGGCTGACAATTATGTTAATAATCCATCCTTAATCGCCGCAGTTCAGCTTTGAAAGTAGAGCTGGATGCTAGCGATCTACGGGCGAGGGTCCTTATATCTTCACGTGAACAGTCCCGTGAGATGCGAACCAGTTCCCATAACGCACCTCCACTAATCATGTCCTTCGCATTCACTTCTGAGATGATGTTAAACACAATTTACTTCAGATTTATATTAAAAGGTTACAAATTCTTCAAACTCTGAATTGAGAGGAAGAGAAACTACCATGCTGTGCTAAGTGGCAGAGAGAAAGCTCAATATGACGCCTGATTGCAGAGGCTTCATTATTAGCATTTTGCACAATCCATGGTAGTGCACCATCTTCTATCAGGAGAGACCTTCCAGTCTTCGTGCCTGCACCATCAGAGCGATGAAGTTCATAAAAGAAGAGAGGATTGTGGAATGAGGGGGTTCTATAGTACCTGGAGGTTGTAAGTCACAAGCACAGATTAGTTTGCACGAGATTGAACATTTTTACAAGGGTTCACTATCCCAAGTGTAGTACGATGGGACATCACACCTAGCTACAGGTGCTCCAAACTACTCAATTCGTGATGGCATCGTCACATTTTCTTAATGGCAAGTCAGATATCAAATGACGCCATGGGCATAGTCTAAGCAATGATAAAAGTTTTGGTAAAGTATCTCTTTTAGTTATTAAAAGGTATGTACCTTGAGCAGATGATCTTGACTCGCATTTTGCAAAATTGGCAATTCCACGAGCAACTTGTGCAAGAACGTCAGGATGCCCACAATGAACCATCCCCAGTAATGCCTTGATGCCACCTTCACCCCTTAGCATAGTTTGCAACTTGTCTGGATAATGAAAACAAAATGCGTGAACCTCTCTTTTACGCTAAAAGAAGATTTAGCAACAAGATTACTTTGCCAGATGATTAAAATGTATTCCCTCACCTTGTCATACTATTGAGGCATTAAAAAAGGCATACATGGGGACAGTACCAAACAATGAATTAGGACAATATATACCCACAAAAACATGAACTAACAATAGCATGTTGCTACAAACCTCCAAAAGGCTAATGATTATTGATCAAGGAATACATAGAATGTTTAATATACAATTGCTGGATCAATGACTTGAGCGCGATTCATCCCCACACAAATAGTCCAAAACTACAACCCATCCTAATTACAGCAAGATATCTATTTTGTCGAGATCTCAGCATCAGGAAAGAAGGGCTTCTACAATTTTCTACCAGGGGTTTGTGTAAGTGACTCTTGCTTTTGGGAAAAATAATTGCTTAGTTTCAAATATATTCCCAAAACGAATATGTCTGCCCTGCCATCTTAACATTGACAATCATGTCAATGAAGAACCAGCTCTGCAAATAGTGAAAGAACAACAAATAACAATTCCAACAAGACCAATGAATATTGGGTATTTGATTTTACCATTTCCACAAAGGTTAGCAATAGCTCCAGCAACCATTCTAAGAGTTTGAGGATCCCCAGCATTAGCGGCTGTTGTTGACAACAAGCGAATTCCCCCTTGAGCCATTATCAGCTCCTGGTTGGTTTCTAGGTGAACAAACAAAACAAAGAATCTGCTTAAAAAGGAAGAAGTACAAAATAGCAGCATAGAAACATTATAATGATTGTTATATATTGTGAACGAGGTGAAAATGAATTTTACCATTCATTGCCAGATTAGCAATTGCACCAGCTGCAACTCTATGTATGGTCTCATCGTCTGAGCTCCTAAGCAGATTCAGCAAGGACATAAGACCACCAGTTTCCACAATCTTCTGCTGATTAGCTTCTGCAAGTCACAGTGAAGGTTTTTGCTCAAACATAACAATCAACTTGAAAACACAGGGTACTCATGTTGATAGGATATTGACAGATTTAAACCACTAAATAGATATTCTACTTCTCCAAATCAACATGCAATCAAAACTTTATTCAGAGATCTAATCAGTAGATGGACACTAGGAAACAACTCAAGCAACAAGGAACATAAAAACCTGTAAATTAGAAAAAAAAAAAATTAGAGCTCACAAAAAGGTTTTCAAGCCATATTGTCATGAAAGTGCATATTAGAACATAAAACACTCGACACAAGTACAAAAGGGCACCTTCAGCAGCTAGATTTGCTACCACCTTGACAGCATGAATGCGGACGTCAGCATCATCTGCTTCTAACAAGGACAAGATCTTGTGCAACCCCACTATAAGAAGATTTGATGTTATTGAGAAGAAGGAAAATTAGTCCATTATCCAAAACTATCAAGAGTAAAAGTGGCATATAAAATCACTAATGCTACACTACCTTGTTCAAAGAGTTTGGCTACTGAGGCTTTCTCGCCATTTTCGGAATCGCTGAGCTGAGAATTCTTCACTTGGGACGTGAGACAGTCTAAATCATTGGGATCATTCCCTGATCCAGCTCTGTCTAGTTGTCTCCTTCTCTACAAGATAAATGACATGTACTTATGCATGGGGAATTGTTGTTAAGACTCAGCTTCAAGCAGCTGACCTATTTGCTTGAGTAGCAATTTATATCTTACAATCACATTTTCCACCACATTTTAGGATACCAAACATCGTCTTATTCTGGACCAAAAGTATAAAGATTAAGCAAGTGCATCAAAGACGGAGATATCAACCATCTATATAACATAACAAACTTTTCGCAAGCCATTGAAGCAAAAAGGCATTAATATAGCCATCTCATGCAATGAATAACTAAAATGAGGGGTTCCATAGGTCAACTTTGACAGTGTGATTAGCATACCTCATCAGCATCAAAACTTAGCTGGAATAGCTGACTTTGCAATAATGCAATATCTCCTTCAAGCTTTTCTTTCTGCCTTGACTCATCTTCGAGCAACTTGTGAAGCTTTAAAATTTCAGATGTTGCTGAAGCCTAGTAGATGACATTAACACACGATCCAGTCACTCTTAAGATACAACAGCCCAATTAAAGAATGAAGGAAGAAGAGAGTTGGAAAACAAAATGTTAAACAATCACAAAGAGACCTCCATTAACTTTGATTGATATAATTGCCTCTTATGGTTCGTAAGCTCCTCTTCTGCAGCCTTTTTGAGAATAGTTTCCTTCTCAAGCAGTTTCTTCAGATTAGCAACTTCCTCAAGAGCTGAGATTGAGGAAACCTATGCACAAGACATCTTAAGTTTGACTTCATATGCACCATTTGTTATTTTGGGGGAAAACTAGGAGCAGCAATAGTATGTATAGGATATGTTGCAACAGATTAGGGAGGCAACATCTTGAAATAATATAGGCAGCATATGAGCAAAACGAGATATGCGTAAAATGGGTCTCTAGCTATGACTATTCACATGCAAAAAGCTATATCCAGGCCTTAGGTCTTGCATTTCTGATGCTTTCACTTTAGGTGTGGAGAACATTATTGACATCAAACAATTTTATTCGTACATCACATCTATGACAAATAGTGACAAACTTACAGATAAATTTTTGGTGACATCTAAGCTTGTCTATTTGTTCTTCAAGGCATTATAAAGGTACATGAAAAACAAAAACAAGCCTGACATTCATGTCAGGGCTATGTTTTACAAAAATTCATTACTACCTTGAAAAATGTAGAATTATTTGTTGATCTACTTAGTTACTCTTTCGAAAATTTTCATGAAAACATGCACAGTTCAAAAACGCCAAAATTAATTTTACAGTTGTTTTTTTTCTTTTGTTTCTTCCATTATCTGAGGAAATAAGCAGAAAAATGTCAACTATGGGCCCTGGTATCTATCTAAACAGTAGGAAGTTTTTCATTAATTTAAAATCAACACTAAGGTCCAATTGAAGTCGTCCGCACATTTTTCTACTTAAGCACACTGAAAAATCCGTTTCATGCTTTCATTCTTAACTGTTTCCAAGCAGGTCCCCAAGAATACTTGTAGACAAGTAAGCTATCTCCAGCTTCCAGAGGCACTTTGAGAATCTAATACTTCAACTGCTTCCTACATTCTTCAAAAATCCATGCATCTCAGCACTCTTCGACTGCATGATCCACACTAATCTCCTCAAAGATTAATATCTCGCATCCCCTTTTATGGCTCTTAGAGCCTTCACTTGATATTGAGACGTTTTGATTTTTTGTTATGAACTTAATAGCCGAGTATCGGTATTGATATCGCCCACTTAGGGGAAGACAAACAAACAGCTGGTTATTCC